GTGCGTGCGTGCGCGTGCGTGTGTGTGCGTGCGTTTGTGTGTGTGTGCGTGCGTGTGCATGTGTGTGTGTGTGCGTGTGTGCGTGCGTGTGCGTGCCCCCCCGTGCGCTATGCATGTCCTTCACTCATGCTTGTGAATCCAGCATTAAGTGGTGGAGTATAAGTCTGTGACTTTGATATTGCACCTCAGCATACGTTTCTGTGTCTTCTTCCCCCCCCCAAAGATGACGGCGTCATCCGACCCGTGACGTTCTGGGTCGTGGGCGACTTTGACCAGCCCGACGGACGCCAGTTGCTCTACGACGCCATAAGGCACATGGTGCGCACACTTCGGTTGTAGCTCCAGCTCTCAGCTTGTACTGATTGGGAGCTTGACTCCGGCAGATGGAGGCCAGAAGTCACACATCCACGGTTTCTTTGCTCACAGAAATCCAGCAACAACGTGCGCTTGGGCCTGATCAACAACCCGGCCGAGGGCCCCTCCAACGGCACCAGCCGCGTGGCGCGGGCGATCTGGGCCGCGCTGCAGACCCAGTCGGCCAACAACGCCAAGAACTTCATCACCAAGCTGGCCAAGGAGGAGACGGCCATGGCGCTGGGCGCAGGGCTGGACATCGTGGAGTTCGCCGTCGGGGTATGGGAGGGCGGCGGGGCGGGGCGGGCTGGGTGGAGCGGGCCGGACCCAAAGCGGGTATTCCTAAAGACTCGTATCAAGGGCTGTGGGTATAATGATGGATCCATAACTATCGACGAGGCTGTAGGAGCTTGTTATGAGCGTCCTGCATAGGTGAGATCAGCCTCTGGTGTCTGACTGCCGCCCCCCCCACTCCAGGGCATGGACGTGCCGCTGTTCATGAGTGTCTACGAGTCGGCCAAGGTGGGCTTCCTGTTGTCGCATGCGGCCTACTGTCGTGACGTGTTGAAACTGAGGAAGGGGCAGAGGGCGGTCATCAGCAACGGGAGGGTGAGTGGCCGCTGCGGCACCCATTGGACGAAGACACAGATAAACACAATGCATCGCTGGCAACTGTTGAGTTGGGTTGTCAGTTAGCTATTAATGCAGCTGGAAATGACCCCGCCCCTTGCAGATTATTGGTCCATTGGATGAAGGGGAGATCTTTAACCAAGACGACTTCCTGCTTCTGGAAAGTATCATCCTAAAGACATCGGGGGAGAGGATAAAGAGCAAGATCGAGAACCTTGGCCTGGAGGAGGACGGGTAAGATGCCCCCCCCCCCCAAACTTATCAGCGGTAATAAAAGAATAAACCAAGGTTGTGGAACTCCATGTCAGCATGTGTAATCCTGTTTTAGTCGGGAGTCATCTGGACGCCTCGGGGTCCTGCAGGTCTGCCCGCTAAGCGTAGGCGCATGGACGTAAGAGAGTTACGGCACCCCCTGTTGTGTGGGCGGCAGGAGCAGGAGAATTAAACGGTGTTAAGAAGCTGTGTAATTAGGAGAAACGTCCAGCTGGGGCTGGAAACAAAGATGTATTTCGGTAATTACCGCAGTTTAACGAGATGTTGCCTCTTAAGGAAGCTCACAGCTTTATGTGCGATTCATTTGGTGTTTTTTTACGGCAGTCTCCAGAAGAGGGAGCTTACTTACTGATTACTTTACTTATTGCTCTTTTTACACCGGCGATGCTTTTACCCAAAGTAGGTGACTTATGATAGTGTAGCGGTGGGTCTCTGCTCAGGAACTGTGAGGCTTTGGAGTAACCAGCCTGTCCTTCTATTCGGTTTAGGGCCAGCGACCTGGTGATGAAGGTGGACGCCTTGCTGTCCTCACAGCCGAAAGGAGAGGCCCGCGTGGAGCACACCTTCTTCGAGGACAGATACAGGTCAGTCCCGCGGTGCCGTCGGCCTTATCGTGCTGTATCTGTCACCGGGATATTATGGTGCAGATACAGTAAGATTACGGACCTGCCCGTACCTCCTGAGAGTAGCTGTGAAGCTGTGTAACGTCTCCCAACACATGCATACCCCCCCGTGCCCACAGTGCGGTGAAGATCAGACCCAGGGAGAATGAGGTATACTTCGACGTGGTGGCTGTGGTCGACCCCGTCACCCGGGACGCCCAGAAGCTGGTCCCCCTACTGACGGTGAGTGCTGCGCTGTCTGCTGCTGGTAAGTGGCTTGCTGGAGTGGATATGAAATTCCCTTGAGACCAGGAAGATTCCATTTACCTTCTGTAGAAGTGCTTTATGTAAATTGTGTTTTTGCTAATTTCGCTTCATGATCCATCCATTTTGGGTAGTAATTGTGGGTTCAATTGCTCTGATTTAATGCTCTAATTGATTGCCAGGTGCTGGCTGTTTTGTTTCCCCTGCTCTAATTGGATAGGGGGCTGACTGTTTTGTTTCGCCTTCTCTAATTGGACAGGGGGCTGGCTGTTTTGTTTCGCCTTCTCTAATTGGATGCTGGGTCACTGTGTTGAATCACTCACTATAATTGGAGGCTGGTTGAGGGTGTTCTGTTTTGGCTGAAGGGGTAAGCAGGTGCTTGCCATAATTGGAGTCCTGCTGACCTCCCCCACCCCTCGCCTCCCCCCCAGACCCTGAAGACACTGGTCAACATCAACCTGCGGGTGTTCATGAACTGCCAGTCCAAGCTGTCCGACATGCCACTGAAAAGGTGAGGAATTAGACTCCCTGCCTCCACCGCTCTGCCAAGCTCAGGAAAACACGCTAGAGGAGTGAGCGGCAAAGAGAGAGCAGAGCCAGACCTGAAACAAATGGGGAGTTTGATTCATCTCAAGATATTACCTTCAGCTAAATAAGGTGAAAGTAGAATCAAGCCATTACTGTTGGTATTGCGGGAATATGATTAACTATATTGATGTACGGATCTTTGATGATTTCCTTTGCTGTTTATTATGGATGCTTTGGCTTGTTTTTAATATATATTTCAGTGTCATTGCATCCAAATTTAATTTTACCTTTCTCAGCATACGCTGCTCCGTAATAGCGACTGACGTATCGGAATTATGACACGGTGAAATCCCATTTGGACAAAGCCCCCCCCCCCCCCAGTGAATGCTGGTACCCTGAGCTCCTATTTCCGGCCCACAGTTTCTACCGCTACGTCCTGGAGCCGGAGATCTCCTTCACCGCGGATGGGACCTTCGCACCGGGTCCCATGGCCAAATTCCTGGACATGCCCCGCACCCCCCTGTTCACCCTCAACCTGAACACCCCCGAGAGCTGGATGGTGGAGTCCGTTCGCACGCGCTACGACCTGGACAACATCTACCTGGAGGAGGTGGACGGCGTGGTCTCCGCGGAGTACGAGCTGGAGTACCTGCTCCTCGAGGGTCACTGCTTCGACGTCACCACGGGGCAGCCCCCCCGCGGCCTGCAGTTCACTCTGGGCACGGCGGCCGACCCCGTCATCGTGGACACCATCGTCATGGCCAACCTGGTGCGTGCCCAGCATCCCACCCCCTGCCCCCAGTGCCCAGCACCTTGCCCCCCCTCGTGCCAGCGCCCCTCCCTGCCACAGCGCCCTGACTCTATCTTGCCTTTCAGGGCTACTTCCAGCTCAAGGCCAACCCTGGAGCCTGGATCCTGAAGCTCCGGAAGGGAAGGTCTGATGACATCTACAAGATCTACAGGTACTGTTAAAAAAAGAACAGATAGTATCCATACATCCATCCACTTCCTGTAACCGTTCATCCTATTCAGGATGGGATGCCAACCAATCACAGGAATAGATATTATCATGGTTAGTAAATATGGTTATCATGGAGTAACATGACGGCATTCCGCCTCCCCGCTCTTTGCCAGTCACGAAGGGACGGACTCCTTGCCCGAGGCTGACGACCTCATCGTGGTCCTCAACAGCTTCAAGAGCAAGATCATCAAAGTGAAGGTAGCACTTCCTGATTGTGAGCGTCTGTTCCGGAATGGGGGGGGGCTGGCCAGTAGGGTGTCACGCTGGGATCCCTCCTATGCTGCCTTAGGAGGCAAAATGGCCGCTGGTCTCGCGGGGGAATATTGGTCACAAGTGTCCTGGTGGCTGTTGGATTGTTACTATGTCAGGAATTAAAAGACGGGGACGGGGGGGGTGTTTGGCCTGTGCCTGTTTCTTAGGTCCAGAAGAAACCTGACAAGATAAATGAGGAGCTTCTCAGTGACGGCACTCCGGACGATGAGGCTGGGCTCTGGAGTTCACTGAAACGGTGCCACCCTGTCACCCCCCGAGTCCCTTACAGACCTCCCATCATGCACCATTAGCTGACTTTAAGTCATATGATCATCCCTGTTACCTCTCTGATCCGCTCGTGCACCTGGATCATTGAAACGTCCCCCCCCCCCATTGTCGGCTAACTGCACCCTCTCTGTCTATCACCCTTTCTCCCATACCCCAGCATCGCTGACTGCTAAGCAGCCGAACAGATCCCCCCCCACCCCCCACCAACAAAAAAATCTCGTTTTGTTTATCTCTCACCTGAATATTTCCTGTGTGTCACGACAGGCCCTTAGTGCCCCCACATTCTCCGCTTACTCTGCCCCCGCCCCTTTCCTGCAGGACCTTCACGGGAACAGAAAAGGTGGATGAAAGTAAGGAAGAGAAGGATGACATCATCAACATCTTCTCCGTGGCATCGGGGCACCTCTACGAGAGGTTCCTGCGGTGAGCCTCGGAACGCAGCTCCGTTCTCATTAGAATGTCGTGCCTTTTATTTAGTTTGCTGTTACTTCTGGAGTTTTACTTCAGGCTACTTTCAACCTGTCGTTTTTGAACAGGATCATGATGCTGTCAGTTCTGAAAAACACCAAGACACCTGTCAAGTTCTGGTTCCTCAAGAACTACCTCTCTCCCTCGTTCAAGGTATGTTTGGGTCAACCCGGTGCAGGATGAAACCGGCGGGCGCCAGAAAGTTAATCTCAGAAAGTTAGTTTTAATCAGGTTAGAGCAGTGTTTCCCAGTCCGGCCCGCAGCAGTCTGTGGACTGTCTGGCAGGGAGCCGGGGGGGGGGGAGCAAAAACGTGGACCGGCTGTGGGTCCCCCAGGACCGGATTGGGAAGCATGGAATAGAGGATGCTGTACATCATACTTCACCAGATGTAACCGCTTCCTGGGTTACTGCTGCACCCCCCCAGGAGTTCATCCCCTACATGGCGGAGGAGTACGGCTTCCAGTACGAGCTGGTCCAGTACAAGTGGCCGCGCTGGTTACACCAGCAGACCGAGAAGCAGCGAATCATCTGGGGCTACAAGATCCTCTTCCTGGACGTGCTCTTCCCATTGGCCGTCGACAAGATCTTATTCGTCGACGCCGACCAGGTAGGGCAGCAGGTGGCGCTGCGGCTAAAGGCTCAGATTGGGCCTGTTATATGTGAGAATGAGGACATTTGGGAGGCAAGTAGACCAGTTACTCCAGCCGATATGGACACTGAATTAATGAAGCCTGTGTATTTCATTGTAGAATGTAAAATGGGAGAATAGTAGCGTTGCTGTGTCTGTAAAATGGAGGTAATTACATGGGTGCTTGAAATTTAAATGATTTGCCTCACAAAGAAAGGGCTAAAAAAAATGTTATTTCACCAGAGGGTGGTGTTCTGCTGCCTCCTACTGGTGACTCTGTAAGGCGCGTCTGTGCTGAGCAGCAGGTCTGACTAAGAGCTGGGCTGATCCCTAGGATTTTCACACCCCCCCCCCCCCTCAGATAGTGCGCACAGACCTGAAGGAGCTGCGAGACTTAGACCTGGATGGGGCCCCCTACGGCTACACCCCCTTCTGCGAGAGTCGCCACGAGATGGATGGCTATCGGTTCTGGAAGTCAGGTTACTGGGCCAGTCACCTGGCCGGCCGCAAGTACCACATCAGGTGACCGGGTTTGACTGCCTGCCTTCGATTCCCTCCCGGTCTCCTTCCCGCTGCGCCGGGCTGTTGTCTTGTGTTCAGCGTCGTTGCTGAGGCTGCCTCCCTGTCCCTACAGCGCCCTCTATGTGGTGGACCTGAAGAAGTTCAGGAAGATTGCGGCTGGGGACCGACTGCGAGGACAGTACCAGGGCTTGAGTCAGGACCCCAACAGCCTGTCCAACCTCGACCAGGTGAGAGGAGCTTCTCCTTGTGGCTGGGGTGGGACATCGCCACTGGGGTCCTCAGACCAGTCCATCTTGCATTCTGCTTATTATTGCTGTTATTTTCTTTGTCTTACAGGACCTGCCCAACAACATGATTCACCAAGTGCCAATCAAATCGCTCCCCCAGGAGTGGCTGTGGTGTGAAACTTGGTGCGATGATGCCTCCAAAAAGGCAGCCAAGACCATTGACTTGGTATGGGGGGGGGGGGGCTGCGTTTGAAGCCCATGTAATGTTGGGGGGCTAAAGATTACGCGACTAGTAGAGGTTCAGCTGTATTCCTTGCCAAGCTGACATCCTCTGTCCTGCCCCCCCCCCCCCACAGTGCAATAATCCTCAGACAAAGGAGCCCAAGCTCCAAGCTGCTGTCCGCATAGTGGCCGAGTGGAGCGACTACGACCAGGAGATCAAGCGCATCTACAACAAGTTCCTGGAGGAGAAGGAGAGGGTCGGCGTCGCCAGCGGCAACAAGACGACACCTGGGACCAAGACAGGTGGGTGTCCCCCGGCAACACGTCAGCATCCTGTCAACAGGGCCGCTGGTCAGTGTCACTGCTCAAAGTGGCCTGTGGTCCTTTTCCATCACTCCATAGAAGATCGCGCTCTGTGTCACCACTGACAAGTTCCTATCCCCTCATCCCCCTCTCTTGCAGATCCCTCACAGCACACTGAGCTGTAGGCATCAGCCTCTCTGCAAGGACACGCTCCGCTCTGTTTAAAGAGCTGTGTGCTCCTTTCTGGTTGGTCCTTTTTTTCTGTTTTTTTTTTTTAATTTTTTTTTTAAAAACAGAATCAGTTTTTTTTTCTTAAGTCAACAGTCCTGCTGAACGACTCGACCACCGGCAACATTGAATGCAGATGTCACTCTTTCTGTGGGAGTCGCTGTGGACCACTGGGGGTCCGGTTGGTGGTTGGCAGTGGGATTGGATTTGTGAGTGGGGCTTCCTGTGTGGTGCATGATGATTGAGAATGAAGGGAAGAACCAACCTTTGGGGTCATAGGATGAGAACAGATTCAAAGTACTGAGTGATATTGTTCCATAATCGTTACTTTTATTGATTACATCTACTAGCGGAGTGCAGTTCAAAGATCTGGTCGTGACATGGACCTGTGAAAAGGGACGCAGGTTATCTGACATTAAAAGCCCTCAACGTTAACCTTAGCTAGTCTTTATGGCAGTTTTTATCCAATCAGGTAAGTGGGCTCAGTGTCACGTGATGAATAGTACTGCGACAGCTTGGGCAGAGCCCCGCCCACTTCGGCAGAGTTTATGCATGATCGTAAATTAAATCTGTCATTGCTGTTCTCCATCCATCTATGGGCCAGTTCATGCAAGGTGAGGGTTTCTGGGATTGATTTGCTTTTTTTTGGTATGCATCTCAGGGAAGAGCTGTGTCAAGAGCATGAAAAATTGACTGAAAAAGGTCCTGGACTGGGCAGAGTGGTTTTCGAAGTGTTTGTATGCAGTGTCTACCGTCCCCTACCTGAAAATGTCACTGCTGTCTGCTTCAGTCACTCTCGGGTCATCACCTCACGACTGCCTCACCTAGGAATCGTAGGATTGCCCTCCTTAGAACCAAAAGACAGTTTACATTTAGATCGGTTGGGGGAAGACACACCTGGAATCCCGTCACAGCGTGTGTCTTTGTCTCTGGGTATTGGGTCCTTGGTGATGATCCAGTGAACGACGCCCCAGTTTGTTGTTTCTGATTTGGTCCAGCCCAAATGTAAGGTTTGAATTTTTGGAATTTTGTGAGTTGGCCCTTCTAAATATTCCCTCTGGGGCGACGGGAAAACTCAAATTATTTGTAGAGGGCTCCCATTTCAAGTCTGGTGTTCATTTCTCCATGTATCTTGTGTGGACCGTCACTGACATGGAAAAGGCGAAATCCACACCCCACGTTCTGTTACGGCGTCACTCACGCAGCCGGCGTGGGGACTCCGTCAGGGGGGGCTACGCTATCTTTTCAGTATGCGCTAAAAAACAGGCCACTGGGCTTTAACAGGTTCACACCTGGCGTTTTCCATCTTGCTTCCTGTCCTGATACAGCGTTTCCCACCTGTCATCGGTCGCCGTTTTCTTTTGTACTTTATATTGAACTAAATGTGTTTTGGGAAATAAATGGACTAGACTGGTCATAGTTGTACTACTAATTGTGGAATATCAGTATTTTTTATTAAAATGGACCAAAGAAATGTTTGTTGTGTCGTTTCACTTTAATTTTCATTTAAATGTCATTTGCTGATACGTTTTGTTTTGCGCATAACTACTTTTTACCACTAGAGGGCAGAATTGCTCCGTTTTTCTTTAAACCGTGTTACTAGGATTAGACAGCATGGCGGTTCGGCGGTTTCACACCCTCCGATATGAATCTAGGTTCAGGTCCGTGCGAGCCTTCATGGCTAATTCTATGTGACTATGTTACCCTGTCTGGCAAAAATTCTTCAGAATTAACTGTATGTGTTAGTGAGTCCATCAGGGGGGAAACATTTCTGCCTTAAATCTCACACTTTTCTGGTGTTTGCTCTGATTACAGTAATTATTTAATCAAATTATTCAGTGGGTGGATAGATTGTCCTCAGGAAAAGGTTATTTAAAAAACTCAGTACTCATTCTGTGAACCTGATATTTTCATTAATGTAAAACAGCCCTAAAACGAGCTGTATGATTGGTTGGCCTTAGTAATGGTTGGCAAACAGGGCAGTGGTAACGCAGGCAACTCCCACTGCCCTCTAGTCCAGTATTTCCCAATCGGGTCCTTGGGGACCCACAGCCGGTCCACGTTTTTGCTCCCTCCCAGTTCCCTACCAAACAGTCCACATTTCTGCTCCCCAGTGGGGGGAAGGACCCTGCTGAGACAGACCCTCGGCTGTAGAGGTTATAATGTGTGATTGTAGCTATGTAAGAAGCCTAGCGCCATGTGAGGTACATTTCCACCAATGAGCTTCCTGCCTTTAAGACACATGTCCACATATCCGGGGTCACGGGGAGTTAAAACCAATAGCTGGACAAAAAACAACAAAGTGTGGCTCTCGATAATGGCGAGCGCCGGGGCCCAAAGGAGGACCATTTACATGTAGATGACAGTTTTAGTCCGGATCCTCCACCCACTCTGCTGTCTCCGTTCATGGTTACCATGGCTACGCCTGTTCCACTTATTTCGGTATGTTCCGTTCAGGCTATTTGTCCTTTGCGGCTGTTCTGTTAAGGCAGATGAATTTACATGTAGATGACTTACCAATGTCCTTTTGTTGTTGTTTTTCCTTGGTTGGTATTGCCCCCCCCACCAATAACTGGGGACTAGGGGTCCGGTGTTCAGGTCTTAGGGCGCACTACCCCATCACTGCTGTTGCTATGGAAAAGTCTGACGAATGGACAGCAGATGGCGCAAGAGAGCAGCTTATGCTTCGTGACCCTGAGCACCGTGTCTGTCCGCTTTCGGTCTTTACGGCCATGTTCCACTACTCTGCTCTCCGAGGCGCGATGTTCTGGCCAATGGCTCACTTTGTTTTCGATTTTGTGCATCGTTTTTTTTTTTCTTTCTTTTTTTTTTGTGGTGGACAATAATTCGTGGGGCAATGCTGATGGGCCTTTGAACAAGGTCATTATCGTCAGTTTCTCCGCTAAAGTCCGCTTGGGCAGGCAGTTCACGTATACAAGTCGCTCCCAATGAGTGCGGCAGACTTCGAAGCCGTCTGCAATCCGGTGTTTTCCGTCACCTGGCCCCCCGTTCTCTCGCCAGTCCTCTCTCCATGTCTCCAGCCTGTCCTTTCAAGTGCTAATCAGGAGGTAAGTCTGATGCGAGCAGGGAAGGTCCTTCTGGAAACGTCGCCCTGCCGCACCCCTGCAGCAATGATCTGGCCCCCTGTCCTTTTCACCTGCTTTGTTTTTCTTCTCTTATCTCCCCATTCCCTCTCTTTCATGCCGCCGCCGTGTCAGAAACCTGTACCCTGCAGCTTTGCTGCCCACATTGATAAAGGCCACCTCAGCTCCATCTCTGCCTGCAGGTAAACAGAAGCCTTATTCTTGGGTCCATTTCCAGCCTTTTGTTGGACTTTTAGCCTGATACATATTCTTCCTGCTGCTCCGTATCTCATTTGCTGCAGCTGATATAACCCAACTAGCTTCTGAGCCACGTTTATCCTTTAAATTTTCACTAGGTGGCGCTGTATGTCTGAGCTTACCCTGCAGGAGCAGCAAATCTGAGTAAAAAGATGCAGTGAGGTATTGAGAGGGGGGGGGGGGGGGGGGGGGTGGAAGCAAATGCCTTCTGGTCAACTCTGGTAAAAAGCTACTGTATGTAACATCCACCAGTAGAAATGATGATCACTTGTGATACATTTGGGGAGGGGGGGGGGGGGGTGGTTGTGATGTTTCACTGGCAGCTGATGCTTTTTTTGGCGCCCCCCCAGCCATGAGTCACATCGGCGGGTAAGAGAACGTAAATTTTTGTGAGGCAGCAAAAGGCCAACCTTTTTATTGTCATTTATCCAACGAACGTGCCACCCGGGTTGTCTGCCAGGAGCCGTGGCGCATCGCAGGTGCAGCGGTTGCTTGGCAGGCTCTCGGTCATTTCTGTGACACCTCCCAACCGCACGGCCCTCGGAACTGCACAGCCTCAATGGAAGAGAGTGACCGTTCCCTTGTTCATGCTACCAAGAGGCCAAGAGCAAGACAGAGGGCCCTGGAGAGGTGACCCACCTTCCATCAAGCTCGGCCGGACCAGCGCGTGTGGCCACGGGGGCAGGCCGAGTCTTGGCACTTGTGTGAGCGTCTAACAGTCGCCCAGGGGGATGGAGGACGAGATGGTGCCTTTGTGTGCCGGACAGAACACAAGTCGCAGTCATCCCCAGCGCTCTGGATTTCGATTGGCTGTTTCAGCAGCCAACAAAGTGTGAGTTTCACCATTATTAGCTTATTAGGACAGGATAACAAATCACTGTGAGATGCATTTACTGTATGAATGAATAAAAAAATGGAATTAGCATCGATCCGCTTCCAGCAGCTCTGTGTGAGAGGCGAGTGGGGGGGGGGCGATTGTGTGTGGGGAAGACGACCTCAGGTAGCTGGCCGGCTAGCGGTCCACTGTAATTTCCCAAGCGAGTCTGGCCGAAGGGATAATTGGAGATCTCAGAAAGCACGTGGCCGCGAATCGATGGCCATAACAAAGTCCTCCGACTGCGTGGACACGCTTGGCTCCACCCCTGCCTACGTTGCCCTTGGACACCCCTCCCTCCTCCCTCCCGGTGCTGCTGGGACTGCGGCTAAAGATCGACGCGCCGCTCCGCTGCACAGACGTCGGCACGTCATTCGGGAGATGGATTTTCCTCCTCCTCCTCATGAACCGGCAAGCATCTGACGTCAGAAGCTCCAAGACATGGACCCGGCTGTCTGCAAAAGTGTCAAGCACAAACGGTGAGATGTCAAAGGCCCCAGGAACGTGCGCGCGGACAGACCACAGCTCATCTTCTGCACCTCCTGTAAGCTGTGGGATATCAGGAATCTGCTCTGATGTCCAGCACATGCAGAAATGCTCATTTTTGGGCATCACGAGTGAGGGATCTCATATCCAAACATCAGCCTGGTAGGGACTTTTTTGAAGGTCTTGTTGTCTGTCGCTTCAAGCATAGGTCCATATGTCAGTTCAGAGTGTTGTACTGATTGATCATCTCAACATCTCACTGGCACCCCCTACAGGCTGATTTAGGAACTCCATGTGACTGGTTGCTAAGCGCTAGTTTGGCTTCCTCCCACTTGATTGTCTGTATAGTCTCCTTTTAGGATGGGAAGGGGGTGTGAATAGTGCCGTCAGCCCCTCTCCCAGCCACAGCGTGTTAGAATATTGTTGGAGCGAGGAGCCAGTATCCCCCGAAGTGCCCGGACAGGCGTCAGGCACCGCCTGCGTTCGGCCATCGAGAAGCGAGACAGGCCGGGGAGCTCCTGCAAGACGCCCTGCTGGTTTGCCGCCTGGTCAGCTGACGATCCTGCCAGGCGACGAGTGAAAGAGGGGAACAAACAGTACCGGCAAAGCTGGTGCTTTGCTTTTCTCGGACTTCGTTTCATTCGCCTGCACGCCTGAAGGGTATCCTGTGGCTGAGCTGCCTGTCATACCACGGGCCCCGCAGTCCAGAGAAGCGGCTTTATGTTCCAGATCTGAGCCAACCACTGCAGCGCTTGTATATGTTTTCTGTTTGGAGAGAGGAGCTCGCTTTGATTTCGTTCCTGTCGCGTGGCGGCCTCCTCATTTTCATTACCCTGAGTCCGTCTGCCAGTTGCAAATCTGTTTTGATTTTTGAAGAGATGCATAATGGAAATATGTTTGCCACATACCCTGTCTGCAACGCGCAAAGGAAAACACTGGCCAATATTCATTTTCTTAATTAAGTTCATACTGCCTCTTGCATTGCATTATCTTTTTTTATTCCGTGATACCCTCTGAATATGCTTTGCTTCTCATTGACGATTATCTGTGTCTCTGTGCTGATTAGATGGGCCTTCTGAGTAGAATAGGGGGGGGGGGCTAATCAGTGATGTCACCCTCTAGTGGACATTTTACAGCAGTGCTGAAGCCTTGTCCACGAAGTGCCAGGCATTAGTAGGTCAACGTGGATTGCTGATGCATTAAAACATATTCCAGGGGTCAGGGGTCCACCTCTTGACAAGGCGGGAAGTTTCTCCTTCAGAACAACCCACTTCCACAATTTACAAGCACAATTTTTTACCAACTCAGGTTTGCAATTCAATAATTATGAAAAAATAACAGAGATGTGAATACATTACACTGCCTGTGAATCATGTTTGTTTACTGAGACAGACATTAATGAATATTTAATATCTGTGCACAGCCTCGTTTGTAATGTGGGCAAAACTCGAGATGTTTGGACTGCGGTGGGAGAGCCGGCTTCCTCCCTGGGCCTGGAGACTTGCTCAGAAAGGGCTGAAGATGTGGAAACATCATCTACTATTCTGTCTGTGTGTAATCGCTGAAGTGTCGTGGAATGTTCCGGATCCTGAGGGAGGTGACAGAAGAGGCTCGAGCCCGAGGTGATTTTGTGAAACTGAGCTACGCATTTTTGTTTTGTAAAAAAACAACAACAAAATCCTGGTTTGCCAGCTAAAGGCATGTGCTCTCCAGCTATTCCACCAATGACAACATTATTACGGTTGTATTGCGCACAAGGATGGGTCAAAGCAGTCCTC